GTAGGTGTGTGGGGTGAGTGTGTGTGGTATGAGTGTGGTGTATGTGTGTGAGTGTGTAGTGTGTGTGTGGTAGGTGTGTGGGGTGAGTGTGTGTGTGTGTGAGTGCTTATGCTGCGCCTATGCGGCTTCTTCCTCCCCAGGGCTGTAATCTGGCTCCTCTCTCCTCTCCAGCAGCGGGGAACCTAATCTACGGGCTCCACCCGTAGTGGCCTCTCTAAATCAGGCAGTGGGCCCTATTCGGATTGCCAAATCTGGCCATAGCTGCATTTTATTTGACCTATTTTTTAAAAAATATCTGAATTAGCCAATATTTAATAATTAAGAGATTACATAAAAGTCCGTGACACTTGAGAATGCTGCGGTGTGAACCTGCTCTGAGCACAGCAGCCCTTCACTGCCCAGCTTTAAGGGCTGTCCTCGTCCCCACGCCACAGGGGAGGAGACCAAGGCCGAGAAAGCTGAGCAACGTGCCCGGGGTTACCGGTGAAGCAGGCGTCCAGAGGCCGTGCCCCTTACCCTAGGCCCCACTGCCCCTCTTCAGCTGATTCTAGAAAAGTAAGGGCTCCTGTTTTCCTCTGAGGCCAGCAAGTCTATTTGGGGCCCTGTTTTGCTCATTCTGTCATCTCCACGGTCGGTGGCATTGAGGTTTGCACCTCCAGCCGTCCAGACCTCCCGGGGGAGGTGCTAGGGAGGACACCCCCCTGCCCCCCACCCCTTCGTGCCCTCTGGGACACTCACTGATGACGTCCAGGACGCTGTGCTCTGAGAAGGTGTACTGGTTGTAGCCGCCCAGGTCCCCGCGGAAGTAGTACTTGCCGCCCAGCTCGGGGCTGACGTTGTTGAGCAGGAGGGTGCAGTTGCGCAGGCCCAAGTCCCCCAGGAGGCGGCTGCGGCCCTGGAAGCTCTCGTGGACGACTTGGGTGCGTGACTTGAAGACCACTGGCGGGTAGTTCTTGGGGTAGGGGCTGTTGAAGTACCACACGCCGTGCACAACAGCCGGCCGCAGCTCATCAGGGAAGTCAAAGCGGCAGGGGATGGACACACAGGTACCTTCAAAGGCTGAGATGGACGAGGGCATCCAGGCCCCCCAGTGACCCCCTCGAGAGGCTGTGGGAGAGCAAGGGCACTGAGGCTGAGGGCCGTGTCCCACCTGGATGGCCCCCTCCTGCTCCCATCACCTGCCACTGGCCTCGGGGTTCAGGGACCCAGAGAAAGAGTCCCAGCCTGCTCAGGGGCCAAGACCTTGCCATTACCTGAAATCATAATCCAAAACAGGGGCAGTGCTGTGAGGAATATCATCTTGTGCAGCAAGTGAGTGATAGCTGGAGAGAAGAGGAGAGGGGTAGCAACCTCAAGGGAGGCAAAAGGGGTGTCTGGCGAGACTTCGGGAGGGGGTCTGTTCAGATGTTAGCTGCCGCTGCCATTATTTATAATTGCAAACACTTATATAGCATTGGCCATGTGCCAGGCCCCAGTGCTTTACTTTGCTATGTTAACTCATTTGTTCTCTTTGAGGGAGATTCAAGTATTAGCCTCATTTTATAGCTGAGATCCAGAGAGGTTAAGTAACTTGCCCAAGGCCACACAGCTAGTTGGCAGTTTTAACCACCAGGTTGTCCTGGGCAGTACTAATGTCCTGTAACTGTCTTCATTTTTATCATGCCCCCTTGGGGGCTCCAGAAAGTTAAGAATCAAGGCTGCAGCAGTGATGGAAAGCAAGAGAAGCAAGCCACAGACATAAGAAGGGGAAGTGATCCCCTGACCCTCACCTCAATCTCCTTGAGTGGAGAACGTCCTCTGGTTCTACTTGGAGCTGCCAGCCAACCTGGAAGGGGAGTCAGACAGGTGCGAGGGGGCAAGGGCTTGAGCACCCACTGCCCTGCTCCTTGGGTGTCCCCTACACAGGTCGCAGCCCTTCATAAGGCTGCCACATGGTCTCTGCTGCTGGCACATGCCTGGGAATCTTCCACATAGCCCTGAAGCCACTCCACAGCAACACCTCCCACAAACTGGGACGTGGGAAAACTGTGGGGAGGGGAGGGGACAGCAGCATGGGGGGCAAAGCCGGGGTGTGGCAAGGGGGGCGAGGGAGCAGATGTCCCACGGCTGAGGCCTGGGGGTGGCCAGCAGGGACACAGTCCCATCAATGACTGGGTTTCACGGCATCAGCATTCCCAACATGCCGTGTGAATTCCTGCCGCCCTCTCCCACCCCACAGACGGCCCCTGGTGTCCCCACCCTCTCCAGAGGCCACTGGCGGGTACAAAAGAGTCCTGTTCCCTCAGGGAAAGGGTGCCTCATCCTGGGGGGCTTCCAGGGTAGGTGGGCAGTAGGAGAGGAGTCAGGCACTCCTGGCTGAGCTTTGAGTGGGGCTAGGAGGGACCCGGGTGGGGGATAAGGAGCCTCTGGCACTGGGACGCCTCGAGGTTGGAGCCAGGATTTCCACGTGGCTGCTTTCCCAGCCTTCGCTGCCCCCTTCCCACAGACACATGCAGACATATCCAAACAGCGCTATGAAATGTGACAGGTCTAATCTCTGCCAGAAGGAGTAGGCTCGGTCAACAGAGGCCCTGCATACACATGCAGGCACTGAGCCCCCTGTGCCCACAGAGATGTCCTGGCATTCATATGGCCACAAAGGCACACCTGGGCTCCACACCCACCTGGACAGACACTGTTCTGGCATTCAGGCTCACGACGATGCAAGGACACCACACACACACACACACACTCACACTCTCTGAGCTGTAGCTATATGGGTCCGCCCAGACACACACCGATGGACACATGACATTACGTCACCCTTGCACCTGCTACAGGAAGGTACAGAAGGCAGACAAAGGAGGGGACTGGGGCACAGGCTGAGCAGACATGTGAAACGCCTGCAGAGGCCAGGCATTCTTAAGGAAAACGATGAAAACTTATTCCCAGGTTGGGGCTGAAACAATCTGAGCTGTTACAATGTGTCCTGCTCCCTAAGGGCAATGCTATACGAGCACATGGACAGTGTATCCACAGTATTACAATTTCAAGGGTGGGACGAGGAAAGACACACCCAGAAAGTTTCCTTAGTGTGGCATAAGGAAAACAGTTGAGAAACATGGATGCAGACTGGGATTCACACAAGAGAAGCGCAGGGCAGGCATGCAGGTGCAGGAGCACACGTGTGCAGGCGCACGTGCGCGCACACACACACACACACACACACACACCTGTCATGCACCCAGGTGCGGGAACCTGCTCACTCACGGCCCACTGCCCCCAAATACTCCCAGTCTGCAGCGTGCATGTGCCTTGTCACTTAGGCATCCGCTCTTCCTCCAACCCAGGAAACCCCCACCTGTCTGCCCCACCCGTGGGAGCCCCAGGGCAGCTGCTCCTGCAGAACCTCAGCCAGGGGTGCCCAGTAAGCACCCTTTGGGCTTCCTCTCTGTGGATTCTTCTCAAGGCCCCCATCCCCGTCCCAAACATCATCCCAGCCCATTTCCAAAGCAAGCCGAAACCACACCCTCCTGCATCCTAAATTAGTGGCCATTCCCAGTGACCCTCCCTTGCCCAGAGAACCTGACCTTGTCCTGCTTTGGGTGCCGCCGCCTGGTGCTCTGCTCCCCCACGCCCTGGCCTTTCTGCACAGTACTCACTCGGGCACTCTTGCTTCTGTACCTCTCCTCTGCTGGCCCTGCTTGTGGTCCCTGCCTCCCAAGGCCTAGGCCCCCACTTGCCAGCCCGTCCCCTCCCCCTGGGTGCCAGGGGCCGCCTGCCTCCAGGGCCCAGCTCCTCCCTGCCCCCGGGGGAGGGGGGCACAAAGGGCCCTTGTCACCATGGGGCTCAGACAGGGCAGCCTGACGCCTGGGTTCTACTAGCTCCTTCCTGGAGGGCATGGGGGTGCTGCCTTTCTCAGTCCGTTGTCCTCCATCACTGTGCACCCTGATTCTGGATCCCATAGAGACAGTCTAATCTATCTGGAAGTCCCAGGCTGAGGGATGGAAGGCCTTGTCCTCTGGCAACATCAGGTGCAATGTCGAGGCTTGTGTGGACAGGGGGAGGAAATAGGCCCCCCTGCCCTCTCAGTGTCTTGTCCCCCTTGGTCATCCTGGTCCATTTTCCTCTTGGCTCCCCTTACCAACTGAAATGACCTTATGCATTAATTGTCTTCCTTCATGGGGACGCAACCTCCATGAAGGCAAGGGCTCTGTCTGTGTTATTCTCAATCTCTGCTGCTTGTAGACTAGCTCCTGCCACTCGGTTAAACTTAATAACTGGTTACATGCTTGAATGTGTCCCTGAGAGGCTGTGGCAACTCTGGACACAGGGCATTTGTCCCTGGAAAGCTGTCCGCACCTCATGGGACTCTTCACTCCAGCGCAGGCCACAGCCTGCTCATCCTTTGGGTTCAACAACCAGAATGCAGTGTCCTCGAGAAGCCTTCTTGTAGTCCACCAAGTCCCTCCACCAAAACACGGTCCCTCTCCTCCACAGCCCCAAGAGCACTTGCCACTTGCATGTTTGCTCATTGCCCCTCAGCTGGACTGGGGGCTCTCAGAGCGCAGGCTTCACTCAGCAGAAACCTGCCTGTATGTCTTGTGCACCCTGTGTCCCTGGAATGCTTGTTGCAGAGGTCTGTGCAGACTCTGAACTGGCTGAGGGCCCTCTGTGTGCGGATTTCACAGTGACCTTGCCGCCATCGCAGCTCTGCCTACTGGTCATGGCCTGTGCAAGATGGGTTCTGGGGCAGCTGGGGGTGGTGTGATCTAGTGTAGTGGTGGTTTGACCGTGAGCTGTTTGGCCACACTGGGATACTATCTGTCCTCTTTCAGGCCAGAGCAATGGGGAGGGAGGGTCCTTTCTCCCAAGGGAGAACCCAGGGGGTGAAGGGTGGGGAAATCCCTCAGCCCAGGGAGTGGAGGAGTCAAGGAAGGCTAGAGGGGGAAGGGGAGTCCCACCCCCACCTCAGGCTTCATGATGTCAGACTCTGCCCGTGCCTTTCCCAGTCAGGGGACAAAGGCCCATTGAGAGTGGGGTGGGGTTTGAACGCCTGGGTCCCAGAGAAGACAGGGGCCAGGCGCCTGGGCTTTGGGGGAGGACACCCAGATCCTGGGGTACTCATATGTCACAGCCCTCAGTTATCAGAGTGACATGCCTGTGTGGCCTGGAGCCCCATGTCCTCTCTGGGTGCTCTTGGGGGAAGGATGTGCAGACAGGTGGGTCCCACTGAGAGTTCTGGTAGTCTGTGGTCTCAATCTCAGGTCTAAAGCCCACCAAAGGAGAGCAGACAGACTAAGAGGGAGGGCTGGGTGACGGGACTGTGGCCTGGAGAACAGGTGCCACCTACAGGGGACAGTCGCCAGGACACCAGGGGTCAGTGCCACCTGAGCAGTTTATCATTTGTGAGAAAGCGGGTGTATTGTTCTGCTAGTGCTGCCACAATAAAGCATTGCAAAATGGCTGGTTTTAAAAACAGAATTAAAGGTGTTGGCAGCGCTGATTCCTTCTGGGAGTATAGGAAGGGTCTCTTCTAGGCCTCTATCCCTGGCTTGTAGATGGCTATCTTTTTTTTTTTTTTTTTTTTTGTGAGACAGAATCTTACTCTGTCACTCTCAGTAAAGGGCTATGGCATCATAGCTCACAGCAACCTCAAACTCCTAGTCTCAAGTGATCCTCTTGCCTCAATCTCCCAAGTACTGGGACTATAGATGCCTGCCACAATGCCCAGATACTTTGAGAGATGGGATCTCACTCTTGCTCAGGCCAGCCTTGAACTCCTGAGCTCAAGTAATTCACCTGCCTCAGCCTCCCAAAGTTCTAGTTACAAATATGAGCCAATGTTTGAATTTTATTTTATTTTGTTCATTTATTTATTTTGAGACTGACTCTCACTCTATCACCCTTGGTAGAGTGCTGTGGTATTTTTAGTAGAGACAGTGTCTCACTCTTGCTCAGGATGGTCTCAAACTCCTGAGCTCAAGCAATTCACCTGCCTTGGCTTCCCAGAGTGCTAGGATTACAGGAGCGAGCCATCACACCTGGCCTACAGGGCCATCTTCATCTTCACATGATATTCTACTGTGTGTGTTGTCTCTGGTGCAATTTCCCATTTTTATAAGGACATTGGTCATATTGGATTAGGATCCACTGCAATGATCTCATTGTATGATAACTATAAAGACCCGCCTCCCACTAAGATCACATTCTGACTTACTGGGAGTTAGGACTCCAACATGAATTTTGGGGAGAGCACAATTAAACCCGTAACAACAGGAATTCACACAGTTTTATCTAAAATAATGTGCAGCAGGACATGGTGGCTCATGCCTTTAGTCCCAGCATGTTGGGAGGCAGAGGTGGGAGGATTGTTTGCACCTAGGAGTTTGAGACAAGCCTGAGCAACATAGTGAGACCCTATAAAAAGTAATAAAAAATTATCCAGATGTGGTGGTACCTGCCTGCAGTCCCAGCTACTTGGGAAGCTGAGGCAGATGGATTACTTGAGCCTGGGATTTCAAGGCCACAGTGAGGTATGATCACACTACTGCACTCAAACCTGGATAACAGAGTAAGAGCCTGTCTCTAAAATAAATCACTCAATTTTAAATTAATTAAATTAAATTAAATATTGTGCAAAACTCATCTCTAGGCAGACTCAAGCTCTCAGGTGTACCCATTAAAGCTCTCTTAAATGCACGCTGGGGCTTGGTCCAGCCAAAGAGGCACTGGTTGCCCTCAGCATGTGCTGAAAGTTTCACACAATGGTCCTCAGCATTGCCCATGGGAGCTTATACAAAATTCCAGTTTTAGGGCCCCAGCCTGCACCTGCAAAATCAGGAATTCTGATAGTGAAGCCCAGCAATCTGATTTTAATAGGCCCTCCAGGATATTGTGATGGATAGCTCTCTAAGACCTCCCTGGAGAACCTCTGGCCAAGGCGAGAGAGTGTCATTATATGGAATTGGCAATTTCAGATCTCCCACCTCCCAAGCATGAATCAAGAGGCTGGGAGAGGCCTCCACCCTCCCCTGCCAATACTCATCCTTTACATTTGTGAAGCCTGTGAAAGAACTTCACACTCATTCTCTTGGCTGAACAACTCCACGGCCAGATGAGCTAAGTACTACAGAGAAGCTTCTCTCCTCTTAAAGATGAGGAAGCTGAGTTCCAGATGGGGAAAAGATGCATGCGAGACACAGCAGCTGATGGAGGCCAGGCTCTGCACAGCCCCCTTCTCTCTCCCGCCCTCAGTCTTCATTCAGGGAACCTTGCCTCCCGGATGACAAGCCTCTAAGGCTGAGGACAAGAGTTAGTAGTGTCCAGAGTTGATCTGGATCCCGTTTGGGTGCAGTTTGGCTCCCAGAATGTTGATTTTAAAAATCACATTCCTGAAGGATAAACTATGATATGTGTATACCATGGAAAACTATTCAGCCATAAAGAAAGATGGAGACTTCACATCTTGTGTATTTACCCAGAAGGATTTGGAGAACATCTTCCTAAGTAAAGTATCATAAGAATGGAAAAGCAAGCATCTAATGTGCTTGGTATCGACCTGAAACTAGCATTGATCATCTACATACCCACATGAGAGGAAAACACATTTCAATTGAAGAAGGGGAAGGGAAGAGAGAGGCAGGAAGTGCGGTAAGCTCTTGCCCATTAGGTACAGTGTAGGGATATAGGGGTATACGGCACACCTGGGTGAAGGGCTCAACTGAGACTTGGACTTTACCTAACAAATAAGAAAAATGTAACCTAGTTGTATGTGCCCTTATATTAATCTGAAATTTAAAAAAAAGAAATTGTATTGAGAGGAAACTAGAATTTAAAAAAAACAACCCAAAACCACATTCCTTTAATCAGTTGACAGTATTTTAAAAATCAGAAAATTTCATGGTTTGGCGCCTGTGGCTCAAACAGCTAAGGCACCAGCCACATACACCTGAGCTGGCGGGTTCGAATCCAGCCCGGGCCCGCCAAACAACAATGACGGCTGCAACCAAAAAG